ATTTTTAAGAAAAACGCTTTTCCCAAGATATATTTTGATCACCATGCACATCACCTGACTAACCATTTAAAATAATGATGAAATAAATGTAATGATAGAAAATTTGACTCTAAATCATATTTTTTAAGTGCATAACACAAATATAAATGTTTTCACAAGTCAATATTGACTTTCTTTAAAAATTTGTGCGTTTTTATATAAAAGAAAATGATAAATTCGACGGATTCTCGCAGCCCCATGTTTAATTTACACTCGCCGAATTGCAGCACAATCTCGCAAGATGCGTATTCTTTCTAATTAAAATTTTAAACACGGAACTGATTGCTTCTTCCGTTCAATGAAAACCTAATTTGGAAAGAGATTAAACTTTCTTAATTAATCCACAGAAATAGAGATTGAATCACGGCCAAACACAATGAAGTACATAATTGGGACGGTATCTGACGAGACGGCTTTGCGAATGACCATTGACTGGATCTTGCAGAAAAACTGTAAGAAAAACGAAGTTGTTGCAGAACAACGGGCACGATTTGATGGAGGAAATTAATGGAAAGAGATAATTATGAGAATATATCTTTCTAAGTTCCGGTTTGTTGGCCTTATGATGTACGAGGTCTGTTCAGAAAATAACGAAATTTTAATTACGGATTTAATGGAAACATTTAGTGACATGAGGTTGGCAGCATTGCGTTGCGCGTAACCTCATCTGTAACCACATGTTCTTGGATTGTTGATATCTTATTTAGTTTTCGTGATATTATTATTTGAGTGCAACGTGTTTAAGTGTCAGGTAGTGACGATTTTTGAAATGTGCGATTTTTTGGAACAGCGATGCAACTTAAATGAAGAGATCTTCGACTAGCAAGGCCTTCGACTTCAACTGATTACTCCCACGTTTACAAAGTCAAAGATCTGGTGCGTGCAAATCGCCGATTGACTAGAAATTGCAGAAGATAAGAAATTTTGACTGACAAAATTGAACATGCATCGAGTTACAGCAAAATTTGTTCCTCATGTGATGACCGAACAATAGAAAGAAAATCGTGTGGATGTTTGTTGGCAATTCCTTGAATAATCCAATAACGATGAATATTAATTTAAAGAATCATAACGGGAGACGAGAGCTAGGTTTACGGCTACGATATTGAGATAAAAGTTGAGTCATCACTAGGCTTAGTGCGGCGCGGAGTTTAACAGGACCGTAGTCAGATTACAAATGAAAATATTAATATGTTTATAGAAAATTATGTCGCAACATAGTACTATTACCAGAGAGCAAGGCTATGTAGAGAATAAAATACCTAGGTATATAAATTTAAATGGCACCACTTACCCGATAAACCTAGGTGTTTTTCTAAGTTTTCTTTAATGAAACGGCGACGTTTATCACTTAATATTAACTTGTGTAGGAAAAATGACCGTTCAGCGTCTACTATTGACAACGGACAGTATGAGAAATTGTTGAGGCATGAACTATATATTAATATATTTGCTGGTAACTCATAATATGTACCAGATAAAACTTTACATGTTTTCCAAACTGGTGTATACTGGATTTTTTTCCAACAGTCTTTGTATTTTTTTCTTTTATCGTACTACTGACTGGGCGTGTATTATTGGCATCGTATATATTTCTTTGTACATCACTCATTACATCAAATTGTTCATTTGGTTCAGGTATAGTCCATGTGATTCAAATTTACGGAATTACGGAACTTGGAGTTTGTTTAATGGAATATTGCTTGAAAGAAAGGCGCGTGTAAGTTCATAGAAAAATACAGTTTTCAGCGCTGGACGAGACATGGCTTTTCAAATGTTTTGCCACTTTAGTTTTGTAACAAGAAATTATAATGCTTTCACACAGTACAAAACAGGTCATTTTCTTTATAGTCGAGGAAATAAAGCACTAAAAACGGCCTTACCTACGAAATCTGTGCAGTAAGATGGATCGTGATGCAGTTTTTTGCATTCGATTCGTTAGAGCGTCCAGAAAGTTTGTGACCCTATGTGATCAATGAGAAATGAAAATTGCATCGGTGCATAAGGGAGATGCATTTTTAATATTGCATCTCGAAGAGTTAAAAAATGAAAAATTTAACTTGGAAAACATTGAGGAAATGAGTTCAATTTCGCTACTCGGTGTTTTTGGGGTAGCTGAACACGAATACCACGACGGCAACGGTCTTCGAGGTACCTAGTGCCCAGGGTGGCCGGTTTCCACGTCGACTCCTGGAGTTTTGTGGACATTCGTTATAAACTTAGCTTAAACTCGTTACCTTGGGGTTTTCGAGGTCGCTCAACACGAATATCACGACGGTAACGGTCCTCGAGGTACCTAGTACCTAGGATGGCTGGTTTCTGTGACAAATATTTTATTTTTAATTATTTTTTATTATAAAAATACATTTATTCGTTACAAAAAAAAAATGTTTTCAAAAAATATTATACATACTTAGATATCTTTACAATTTTAATTTTTCTTGGAGCGTATCCATATATACTAGTATGTGTAAGAGTATATATTAGTATATACAGGGTGGGCCATTAGTGTGAGAAAGTAAAATAACTCCCTTGTTACTCATAATACAGAAAAAAAATTTATAAAAGTTATACAGAATCAAGAAACCTAAAGTTCAAAATTAATTTGATACATACGGGGTGATGAGTAAAAACGGGGCACGCCAAATATTACATTATTTAAATGGAACACCCTGTATATTTTTAAACATATGGATTTCCGAAAAAAATTTATTTATGGCAATATAAACAGTTCATCATTTTAGTGCGGGGTTACCAAGTTATGTAGAAAATTCTTCGAATTTTGGAAAAAACATGACCTCGAAGAAGTTGTATTAACTTTCAACTACTTGACTTGAACACTTGAAGCAAAAATATTTGATAGAGTTATAGGCAAATTTTAGTCAAGCTTATTAGCTAATATCGATATTTTATACAGGGCATTTTTTATAATACGATCATTTTTAGAAAGTTGAAACTTGATTTTCTAAAATTTTTCAAGTGGAACACCCTGTATTTTATTATTCTATTTTATTCACAAATCGGTCCACTTCAATTTTTATTAAGCATGTTCTATATCTAAAATTGTTAGTTTTCAAGATATAGCAACATTTCTGAAAAAACTTTTTTGTTATTTTATAGAATACCACAAATAAATATTAACTAATAAAATTAACTCAAAATGGAATGATAAATTATGAACTGATAAGTTGACACAATGTGACAGTTTTTTCCAAAATCCATTTCGTGCGACCGAAAATTAAAAAAAATTGGTTTTTCCAGAAATGTTGGTATATCTTAAAAATTAACAACTTTAGGTGTAGAACATACTTAATAAAAGTTGAAATGGACTGATATGTGAATAAAATAGAACTATAAAATACAGGGTGTTTTATTTGAAAAATTTTTGAAAATCAAGTTTGAACTTTTTTAAAATGATCGTATTATAAAAAAATGCCCTGTATAAAATATCGATATTAGCTAATATAGGAGTCTTTGCCTAACATTTTCCTATAACCCTGCCAAATATTTTTGCTGCAAGTGTTAGTAGTTGAAAGTTAATACAACTTCTTCGAGATCATGTTTTTTCCAAAATTCGAAGAATTTTCTAGATAACTTGGCAACCCCGCACTAAAATGTTAAACTGTTTATATTACCAGATTTAGAATTTTCTCAGAAATCCATGTGTTTAAAAATATACAGGGTGTTCCATTTAAAAAATGTAATATTTGGCGTGTCCCGTTTTTACTCATCGCCCTGTGTGTTTCAAATTAATTTTGTCCTTTAGGTTTTTTGATTCTGTACAACTTTTATATAAACTTTTTTTCTGTATTATGAACAACAAGGGAGCTATTTTACTTTCTCACACTAATGGCCCACCCTGTATGTAAGAGTAAAATGTGGAAGCAGCGGCCAGCGATCGCAGTCCTTACCTAAAATTTCATCAATGCTACCAACTGTATTAAAAGCGCCAAATTAAAAAAAAAAATGTTTCGGATAATTTATTTAGATATTCGATACAGCTTATCAAGATGACATCGATACCTCGTAGACCATTACCGTTGTGGTATTCACGTTGAGCGACCCCAAAAACCCCGAGGTAACGAGTTTCGGCTAAGTTTATAACGAATTTCCACAAAACTCCAGGAGACGACGTGGAAACCGGCCACCCTGGGCACTAGGTACCTCGGAGACCATTGCCGTCGTATTCAGTGACCCCAAAAAACCCCGAGTAGCAAAATTGAACTCATTTCCGTCAATATTTTCCGAGCTATAAATTTTTCATATTTTAACTCTTCGAGTGTAATTTTAAAAATGCATTTTTCTTATGCACCAATGCAATTTTCATTTCTCATTGATCACATAGGGTCACAAACTTTCTGGACGCTCTAACGAATCGAATGCAAAAAAAACGCATCACGATCCATCTTACTTCACACATTTCCTCGACTATTAGGTAATATGTAATCACTGTCAAACCACATTTGAAATAATTCCCGTCTATTTCTTTTCTCTTTTGGCATTTTACTTCACTTTTCCCAAGTAATAATTGCACCAAGTCTAGTCATCACAACGGCTTGGCAAAGAAACCACGTCAATCTCGATTCAATGTCAAAGTTACGTTCACTGTTTTTTCGACTTTAATGGAATTGTGCATTTTGAATTGTTGCCTTAAGGTGAAACAGTGAACCATCAAGGCGTTTTACAACGGTTACGTGAAAAAATTCGCAAAATGAAACCAGAGTTGTGGCGAGACAATCATGGTTGCACCATGACAAAGCGCTCACACACTCAGCTTTGTCAATTCATAGTTATGTGCCAAAAAATCAGGTTACTGTTTGCCCTCATCCTCCTTACTCGCCAGACCTGGCTCCTTGAGATTTTTCTTATTTCCGAAAATTAAAATCAGTGCTGAAAGGGCATCGTTTTCAGGTTATCGATGACATAAAAGCAAATTCGTCAGACTTTAAAGACCATTTCAGAGAAAGCTATCCAGGACTGGGGAGGGGAGTACTTTGAAGAAGACGAGGACTAAGAATGTATGCAATAAACGAAAATAAGTGTAGAGCAAACTAAGTGTATATGTCTACACCAACTATTGTTTTATTCCAAAACGGTTCGCTCTTACACAGGGTTTCAAAAGCAAAGAGTATTCCAAAAAATAAGAAGTATAAGAAGAAAATAAAAGTACATTTTTAATTTAGCTCATTCTTTCTGACAGTCCTACTATTTTTAATAACACAAAATAAAGTGTTTCGGGACAAGTTCATATAAAATAATTCTTTATTTTTTGGAGTACTTTTTGCATTTATATTTTCTATACCTTCTACACCCTGTATTTATCCAGTTTTTATTTCATTCGTTAAGTCAGACACTCTGTGATAATTTACTAAAAAATAAATTGTTAGGAAGTAAAAAATCAAGTTTAAAGCATAAAGCGAAAGCTTGGACATAGAGTATAGATACGAATTCAATAAAATAGTTTACTCATACCGTCAGGGACAGATGGTTATGTGGTGATAGAGATGATTAATGACGTACCTCGACATTCAATTTATTTTTACCATTATTATCGAATAATACATTATCATTAACCGAAAGAGTTACACTTATCACAATTCATTCGTTGAGTGATGTAAGGGTATCGCTTGTGTGTCATGCAGTTAAAATTAAAAACTCTAGTTTTTAAGGAAATAAAAATAAAACTTGATAAAAAACGCCCTTTAGGTGTTCACCTAGCATTTTAAAAATCCCACCAGTTAAGCTCAATTCTCAGCGACTATAGACCTGCATCAATTCTCAAGAAAATACGAGTATGAAGCGTGGGAACGTCGACTATACTTAATATTTAACTTTTCGTTAAAAATATATTAAAAGTATCCTATACGGTGTGGTTCATTTTGGTGATGCATGTATTGGTAATTGATATGTTGGAAAATGGTTAGATAGGGAAAGTTTTAGACAGTTCTGTTGCTAACTTAATGGGGCTTGTAAACCGGTCTTAACTCTTCAGGTTTGTGAGTTATTTTTAAAAATTGAAAAAAAAAAACGTTTTCGAAAATTGTCTAACTTTTTCATTTAGAGGAATTTTTAATATTTCAAAACACTATTTCACCTTAAGTTTTATCGAGGAATTTCACTGTATATTTAGACTTTCATTGCGAAGTTTCGGTTGCAAGAAACTATCATCAACTTTCTATTTTCTTATGGGCGCCGTATTGAATTTTAAGCTGAGCAAGTAGAGCATTTTTTGATTTTTCAATGGGAAGTAAGAAAAAATTCCAAAAAAAATAATAACAACGGTTTCTATTAAACTCATTTCCAAAATAGCATAGAATACTTCTAGTAATTAAATAGATAATGTTATACAGGGTGTTAATTAAGTATGTACAATAAATTTAACAGACAGTGATTTTAAGACAATGCTTCGTTTTCGTGTTAAACTTTTGTAAAAAAATTGATGTTTCGTAAATATCTTAACCCAATTTTAGTGACACAGCTATTTATTTCAAACCGTTAGCGAAATATAGGGTGCTAATGCACATGTTTTTTCGTTTAAGAGACCTGAACGGAGCTGTGTATGAATTTCTCATCTTAAGATTATGAAATTTCACACTTTTTTGTCCTCAGATTTTAAGCGCTACCCCACCGTAAATTTTATACTAATAGCTGAAATATTATTTAGCATCAATATATCAACCACATTATTCCTGTTGTTAAATGCTACTGTGGTGGTCTACAGGTAACGGGCTCGCTTTGGAATCCAAAGGTTCGGGGTTCGAATCTCAGACAGAGCAAGACTATTTTAATTTAAATAAAATTCGAAACCAACTTTAAATTCAATTGCAGCCCACCTCTCTCCTTCACTCCGATCTCTATTGCGCACACGTTTAAATCTAGAAATTTGAATTTACCACCAATTTTATTGCCGCACTCTGATCAAACAACCTATCGTTACTGGATTTTAAATTTACCGCCAATTTGCCGCGATCTGATTGGTCGAGAGACGTGGCCTAAAAGTAGAGGAGAGGGGGTAAAATTAATCAAAAATTTGCAAACTGAACCTTCATAAGAAAATACATGGGATTTTGGCTCCGTACGCCCGTAGCTTATCTACTAACAACCTCAAAAATCAATATTTTAATATTTTTAATAAATCTGGCAACATCGCATAAATTTCGAAACTATTATATAATAATCTCAAATTTTTGTAAAGGCTTATCATTAATGTCATGGCGTTGAATGAAAATATTACGTTTTGCGTTATTGCAATGAAGAAAAATATGATATGTTGGAATGATGTATTAAAATCATTGGTCCTTGAAATGCAACGGGGGTTGAAAATCAAGTTTCAGAAGGATATTCAAATAATTCTAATCATTAACATGACTGTTGCTAGAAAAAATAACCTTATCCCTTGCAGGCTACAGCATTACTACACCAGGAAAAATAGCGAAAATAAAAGAGAAACTCGAAAAAAGTCCTATCCGCGAGATTATTGTAAAATTGTCTAAAGGACCATAATACAAGAGATCTCTCGTCTCGTGAGTCAAAAACTTTTAATAGCTAACTTTTCTATTTAAACAAATAAGTGAGGAAAACAGTTTTCTCACATTGCAGGGAAAACCATCAATTTTAGCGAAAAGTGAAATTATCTACAAAATGAGACTTGTTAAATTAAAATCGGTTAATAAACAAAAAAGTTATTGCAAAAAAAACAAGAAAAGTGTCCATTTTTTAATTTGTTTATAACTATCGCATTTATTGTTAAAATTTTATAAAACCTATGACAAGTTGAGGGTTTTATCATACTTCAAAAGTGTGCCAAAAGTGGGCGCTGTAGGTGCAATAGTTTTCGCACAATTCTATTTGTTTATAGCGGAGGCTCCAAAAGTTATGAACTTTAAGCCTCTGTACAGGCGTTAATTTTCAGTCAAACATGATTCTGAAAGCGTCATTGTAATCTTAAAGACGCAATTAAGCGACCTATTAAAAAATATTTTTGCTAGCTATCCATTGCACCTATTTTCGGTGAGATAGCATAAATAGCAACAATGTTATTCAAATTGTTTATAAACGAAAAACGCACGGTTTTTTAATTTGAGAATGTTAATGTCAAAAAAACGGTGATATTTTTTAATAGGTCACTTAATTGCGACATTTAATGACGCTTTCAGAATCATGTTTGGTTGAAATTAACGCCTGTGCCCTGCTACACTTCATAACTTTTGGAGTCTCCGCTATAAACAAATAGAATTGTGCGAAAACTATTGCACCTACAGCGCCCACTTTTGGCACACTTTGGAAGTATGGCAAAACCCTTAACTTGTCATAGGTTTTATAAAATTTTAACAATAAATGCGATAGTTATAAACAAATTTAAAAATGGGCACTTTTCTTGTTGTTTTTTTTTGCTATAACTTTTTTGTTTATTAACCGAATTTAATTTAACAAGTCTCATTTTGTAGATAATTTTACTTCCTATAAGCTGTCTGTGAGTCACTTTTCGCTAAAATAGATGGTTTTCCCTGCAAAGTGAAAAGACTGTTTTCCTCACTTATTTGTTTAAATAGAAAAGTTAGCTAATAAAAGTTTTTGACTTACGAGACGAGAGATGTCTTGTATTATGTTCCTTTAGACAATTTTACAATAATCTCGCGGATAGGACTTTTTTCGAGTAAAAATTTAATTTGGTCTATACATATTTCAAACTTAACACAATTAAGGTTGTTCGTGTTGAAAGTTGTTCAATATTGAAAGTTTCTGTCCATATGTTGTTCACAAATAAAATTTTGATGCAAATTTTTACGTTATTTTGACACTGGATACCCTCAGCATTTTGACTCCATTGTGACAATGTAAACGCAAGCTAGCAATAAATAAATTGAATTTTTAGATACCCCACCAATTTTTACTGGATCGTAAATCGAGTGTGTGATTTTCCCATATTCCGAATGGTACTTTAATGCTTTCTTCCCTCGCTTTAGGGTTTTCACTGTCACACATAATTCCAGACAGTTCCGTTCGCTGCCGGCGGGCCGTACACATCTGCCACTGACCTATTTTAATTAATTTACGGAATCAGGCTTTGCATGACGTCTTGAATAAGCCAATTACGTCGAGTCGATATTTGCCTTATACATATTGTATAATAATAAGTATTAGTATCTTAACGATTGCGTTATGTCCTTTTTTTGTGAGATAATCGCGTTTTTATTACATATTTAATACAGGGGTGTGTAAAAAAGTTACACCCAATTTTTTGGAATACGTTATTCATTTTAGTCCTGTAGCCAGAGGGGTCCCAATTGTCTCCTTCATTTAGATGGAGTTATCCAAGTGTTTTTTATGTATTTTGAGCTGCAGAACACGAATTTTTTGGGTAGAAGTTTGCCCGGATGTCGATAAGTTTTTTATTAACAAAAAATTTGCAAAATACTGAACACTTAGTTTTTGGCAAAATAAAAAGTACTTTCTTATTATTTGACCCATTTTAAGAAGAAAATTTTTTTGTTAAACGCATAGTTTTCGAGATAAACGCCGTTAAAAACTCGAAAAATGCGATTTTCAATTGTTAATAACCTTTGATTGAATAGGTATTTTGTAATTCTGCTGACGGCGTTTGAAAGTTCACGTTAAATACTACAAATTATGAGTAATTGCAGTGTGAAAATTTGTTTTTTCCACTGTTATTTGAAGCTATAAACAAATAGCGATTGAGCGTTCAGAAGGGTGCGCCGCCATGTATGTAAGAGAGCGGTTGCCTTCTTACAGGCGTTTAATACACGATCTTGACGCGTACTCTTCATTTCTAGACCAAAGAAACGATGAAAACTGAACGAAACATTAACAATTTAATGAAAATTTGCAATATTACAATAATTAAAATTATTATACAAGTTTAAAAAATAATAATTATAAAAACACCTAAATTATACGACGTTACGCTTTTAATATAAGTAAGTATAAACTTTTTTATTATCGTTTATAAAGCAAAGTAGGCACAAAGACGAGAGCTTTGAAATCAAACCCTGT